AGTAACCGCAACAAGGAAGGCAGTTTTCCATGATACTAGACGTAGATCCACCGTCGCCAGAGGTCCAAACGGTGGCTTTGTTAGCGCTTGGAGTACAACAGAAAGACTCCAAGTCGGCATGACCAGACAAATTGATGGGTGTAAATTAAGAAAACGACGAATCAGAGGTTGAGAAAAAACCGATGAGCCTTGAATGGTACCACGGAAATGTGAGATGGCAGCTGTGTAAACCTTTATAGATGAAGGTTTAAGTCCCAAACGGTGAAGTTCAAACAGAAATTGTAAAATGTTCTCAATGGATGCCGATTCTGGAGAAAAAGAATGACAGGCAGCAAAGAAGGAAAATCTTTTCCATTTTGCTGAGTAAGATCGGTGTGCGGAAGGTCTTAGTGCAGATTCGAGAATTGCCTGGATATCAGGATGTAAAAACGTCGGTCCCGAGACGGTTTCTGTTGATCCTGAAGGAGGAGTCGGTCGTGTACGCAGTTGAGGTGAGGATTCCGTGGATCGAGATGGTAATGGAACCAATAGAGAAACCGAATCTAGCGAATGTTCCACGCTGTCAGTTTGAGCGAAGCTAGGTCTGAGTGTCGGATTGCTCCGTTGCATTGCGTCAGCAAGTGAGGGACCGGTGGAAGTCAACGGAAAACACCTTTGGACTGAACGAGGAGAGTGGTGAACCAGGGTTGCCTCGGCCACCATGGGGCTATCAAAATTCCTGTAGCATTGTCCTGAACAATCTTCAATACCACCTTCATCATAAGGGGAATCAGAGGAAACGCATAGAAGAACAGGTTGTTCCAATCGATCATGAGGGCATCTCCCCTCAAGTCCTGTCTGATACCCGCTCTGGAGCAAAACAGTTTGCATACCCTGTTTTTTCGGGTAGCGAACAAGTCTATGTCTGGGTATCCCCACAATTGGAATAGTTCGTTGCAAATTATCCGGTCCAACTCCCACTCGTGGGTCGTTGACATCTGCCTGCTCAGTGTATCCACTTCTACGTTGTAGGTCCCTGCAAGGTGTACCGCCAGCAGCATTATGTCCCTTGGGATGCACCAATCCCAGATTTGCATTGACAATCGGGCCAAGAGCGGAGACTTCGTTCCGCCTTGCTTGTTGACGTAGAAGACAGCAGCTATGTTGTCGGACGCAATCTGCACAACTTGGCAGTGCATAACAGTTTCAAAAGATTTGAGAGCATTGAAAATCGCTAGAAGCTCGAGGGAATTGATGTGCCTCCCCACTTCTTGTCGGTCCCAAACCCCTTGGATCCGAAGTCCTGCACATGCCGCACCCCATCCGATGAGGGACACATTGGTGTATAATGTCACAGTTGGTTGGGGCTGACGGAACGGAACGCCTGTAAATAGGTTGTGTGTAACAGTCCACCATGTCAGGGAGTGAAGGATTGAGGATGGGATCCGAAGAAGCTTGGTTTGTAAATCCTGTTGCGGGTGAAACAATTCGTTGAAGAACAATTGAAGCAGCTGAAGTCTGAGTCTTGCGTGAGGCACAATGGCCACTGATACCGCCATGTGCCCCAGCAGTCTTTGTATAGTGATGGCTTGCACTGTCTTCAGTCGTCAGATCCAATGGATGTGGGCACACAGCGTGGCTCCGCAGGATGAAGGAAGGAACGCTCTTTGTAGAATGGAGTCGATACGTGCCCCGATGAAATCGATGACCTGTGTTGGGATAAGTGACGATTTCTTAAAATTAATGCATAGTCCAAGGTCATCAAGCAAAGTACAAGTCGTATGGACAGCCGCAAGGAGGTTGTCTTTAGTCTGTGACACAATTAGCCAATCATCTAAATAGGAGTAGACTTGTATACCCCGAAGCCACAAGTGGGTGCATACTGGGGCCATGCATTTTGTAAAAACTCTTGGTACCATAGCTAGACCAAACGGGAGTACTTTGAATTCAAAAATATCGGATCCAACAGTAAAACGCAGGAAGCGTCTATGGGAAGGATGGATAGAGATATGAAAATAAGCATCCTTCAAGTCCAATGAGGTGAACCAATCCCCTTTTTTCAGCAACGGAAGGATATTCTGTAAGGTGGTCATCCGGAACTTTTTTGGTTTAATGTATCTATTGACATTCCTCAGATCCAGGATAGGTTGAAGACCACCATCCCGTTTGGGGACCGTAAAATATCGAGAATAGAATCCGTGTAGCCCATCGGTGCAAGAGAGTTGTCGAATCGCACCTTTACGAAGAAGTTGGTAGACCTCATCGCACAAAACCGAAGATGGTGGCGTAAATCAGATAGGGCTCGACGGTGGAACGATGTTGAATTGTATTCTATATCCGAGCTGAATGATGAACAACACCCACCTATCAGATGTAATGGACTCCCAAATGGGGAGTCGGCTTTGAAGCTGGCTCCCAAAAGGGAGAGGGGAAGGTGGGAGATGGAAAGATGAATTGATTCACCGGGACCGTCAATGAGGGCATTTTTTGGAGTCGAAGTGCTGACGGCCCTGAGAGAAGCACTGTTGGGGCTGTTGCCTTCTACGCTGCTGCCTCTGTTGATATAGTTGGTGAGGTTGATACTGCTGGCGTCCATAAGGCCTGGACCATGACCACTTATGTTTGGTTTGTGGGAGCTCCATGAGACGCACTGTCATGCGGGATTCGTGGATGGCTTTGAGTTTTCGATCGGTCTTCGCGTGGAAGAGGCCAGTGCCATCGAATGGCATTTCCTCTATCCTCCTCTTCATTTCCTCAGGAAAGTTACAATTCCTGAGCCACGCATGTCGTCGCAGGGAAATAGCACTGACCATGGCCCGAGAGTCAGTGTCCACATGTTGTCTTGCAGTGGACAACTGCTGTATGGCCACCTGCATCGCCTCTTTTATAAAGACCCTGGCTAGGTCTGCCTGTTGGTCTGCAAGGGAGAAGGCGACGTTATCCAGCTTCTGCATTATGAAGTACTGGTAACGTGCCAGACTAGCTTCATAATTTGATATGCGCACGCCGAGTCCTGCAGCCACATAAAACCTACGTGCAATCATATCGACTTTCCTCCCTTCTTTATCTCGGGGTATTGTATGGCCCCGAGCCTCCCTGCCCTGGGATGACTCGACCACCACAGAGTTGGGCTTAGGGTGGTGCAGCAAGAATGGAATATCTTCCTCTCTGACCCGGTACATAGACTCGTACCAACGAGACGTCGCTTGCAGTTGTGTCGGTTGGTCCCAGGGCTGGACCATTGCCTGGCGGAGCGTGGTAATAAGAGGCAAGGCAATGGTTGCAGACTGCTCTCCCCAGATGATATCGTAAAATCGGTCGGTGCTGGGGCCGGGGCGAGGGTAGGCCTCTATTTCCAGCGACCGAACTAGACAAGAAATGAGTTCCAAGAAGGAAACATGGGGCTCATCCGGGGATCCAGGGTCTTGGGAAGTGATGGCCACATCCGGGGACGTGGAGTCTACTTCCGACTCGTCCAAGTCATGGTGGTAGCGGTAGTGCTCACTAGACAAGGAGGTCTCGGTAGAAGGTGGAGCTCTCCGTTCCGTACAGCCGGATGTGGACGATGCCTCTCTCGGGATCGATGGCGAACGATGGTCCCGAGGGTAATAAGCATAGGGTGGATATCCACTACAGCCTGGGAAGCCGCCATAACCGGGCATAGGCCAGTCATCCCCCTGGCGTTCCGATGATCGGCTCCTACGCCTAGGCGGCAACTGTGTTCCCTCAGGTGGCCCAGCAGTAGGCATTGGAGTCAGGGAACGTTGTCTCGGAGGGGAATGTCTAATTTCTCCATCGGAGATGGACTCCCGAAGCAGTGGCTTCGGTGGGGGAGACACACTCTCAGGCTGAACCACAGGCCTGGGGGATCCCGGCAGAGTCACCTGCATCACCAATTGCAGGGCTGATCCCAAGGGAGCCAGTACCGTAGCGGCGGTCAGTACAGAGAACCCTGACAAACCCAAGCCCAGATGTTTGGGGCGGTAGAGTTTCTTGTCCTTATGGGCCACCTTAGTCGCCTTATCTTTCCTCGGCTTCTTGTGCCCGGAGGATTTATCCAGTTCTGAATGTTTCCGCTTCTCCTTTTGTTTAGCTGGAGGAGAAGGTAGCTGTTGCACTTCCATCGAAGCAGCGCCTTCATCTGAAGGACATTGTGGTGCCGCGGCCAACGTTGAGGCGGGGCGCTTAGAGGACACGGCTGAAGCAGAGGCAAAGCGCTGCAGTGGCACAGCCGAGGAAGGGGTAGGCCTTGAGACCAACTGGTTGGATTGGAGCAAGGCCTGATCCCAAAGCAACTTACGGATACAATTCTCCCTATTCTTCCTGGCCTGTTTAGTAAAAGCCAAGCAATGCCCGCACTTGTCGGTCCTATGCCCCTCGCCGAGGCAGAGGAGGCATAAGTCATGCGGGTCGGCAGGCGACATTTTGGAGTCGCACTCACTGCCCTTGCGGAATGCCACCCACTGTGCCATCGCGAAAAAGAAGAAAGAGATGATAGTACAGAGGGTAGGAGTAATATTTTTGGGTTTTTTTGTTTTAGAGAGATAGAAGAAAAACTACAACGAGAAAGTGAAGAAAGAACTGGGAATAAAATGAGGAACAAGGTAAGTAGAGCAAGGTATAACCATTAGGAGCACAAGGTGAAAAATCTAAGCGAGACACGAACAGGCATGAGGCACAGCGAACAGAGGTCGCAAAGACTGAGTAAAATGGTGGACGCACCACTCTATTTAAACTGTGGGGGGAGGGGAGCAGAGCTTTTTCCCGCCAAAAACCGTTAGCCTTCTAATCTTCCAGCCTAGGCACTGCGCAGGCGCAGCACCCATATGTGTGATGCACAGAGGCCATGATGAAGAACCTGGATTCTGCACCTGTTTGAGATTTCATATGGACTTCTAGTATCTCACTCTTTAGCTCTGTTTTATGAGCTTCCCAGCAGCTATCGGCCCTGAATAAATGTAGCAAATAAGCAAAGTTAAATAATCATTTATTTCATGGAAAATGTACGTGTAATTAGATACCTTATAAAAGAAATTAGTTCGGCCCACAGATCCAATTTTGCCTGTGTGATTCATAAAACAAATGTTTCCTTCAGTTGCACCATATAATTCACATATCTTGATGTTACCAAATCGGTGCAAAAATTCCCTCCAGACATCTGGTCTTACTCCATTCCCAACTGCTAGGCGAACTTTGTGATTTCTTTCTCCCTCTTTCTGCAAGACATTTTAAAAGAAAAGTAAATTATAATGAATGCATCATTTCTAAATATACAACAGAGATGTTAACATGTTTTTAATTATTTTTCCAAGTTCTCTCTTTAGGATATCTACAGAAATAAAAATCCTGTACTGCAATGTGCATTCAATCACAATTAAATCCAAGATTTCTTGGGTTCTACCTCCAAGGCTAGAGACAGATAATTAACTTTTTGGCTGTGTTGAAGGTGATCTGGTGGAAATATCATTGTACATGATATATAAACTTATTCAAGTTTCACCTCTGTTGAACAGGTTTCACAAAATTTAACTAATATTAAAAATCCTGCAAACCTGCCTAGAAGTGATAGCAATACAAAGTAAAACCCTTTATAGACCAGTGGCAATAACACCTCTGTCAAACCACTTTCAGCTCTTACAAAATTCTATCATCTCTTCACAGCTTATGTGATTATCTGTAGTGTTCGTACTATATTTGGATATGATAATATACCTTTACATGTGTTACAAAGTCATAGCCAAAGGCCAGTGTTCATAAACTTTCTCTAGTCTTGTACTTGTTTTTATCCTCATTATTTTACCTGGTTAAAATGGTACGTAGTCTTTAGTAGTGCCAGAAGAATAAAAAAGACAGCAGAGAGAGAAGAGCAAGCAAAACAGAAAAAAAATGGGGGCAACTATAAGGTTGGAGTTCCACCTCCCTTCTTTCCCTTGCACATTACATTTTAAGCAGAACATTTTCTCCTTTTCAGGGTAGCATGTGATCTATGTAAATGCAATATCTGGTAAAATCTGTACTAACTAAAGAAGCGTTTTGTGTACAGAGCCTCTAGATCAGCTATTAATTAAATCAATAAAAAGGGATTCACTGTATTCTGGCCAAGGTTATCAGTTAGTGACGCTATATAATAAGCATAAACTAGAATGGACCAGTTAATGTCTACATCCCTTGGTTGGCTAACTATAGTTTAGCAGGCAGGAAATAGCATCAGCACCACTTCTTCTCCTCCCAGCTCCCTTTTGTGCAGTATCCATCTTGGCTAATTTAAAGTACATTCTTCATTAAGAGCTGCATCCCTTCTGCAGTTTAGTTTGAAACCACACACAGGTATAAGCTTTTTTGTAATTGTTTTTTTTATTGCCCATACAGCTCAAGTTATATTTTTGTTTTGCATATTTACCTCCAGAAAACCAACAAAATTGAACTGATTTAAACATCTATTTTTAATGGATTGGATGCTTTGTGTTTCAATATTGCTAATGCTACCACTATCCCTAACTGAGGTCACTGAGTTCTATCTTATTCAAATGCAAATTTGGAAACTTCAGACTAAACACAAAAACAAAGAAACTTTTATTGCAATGGTTAGTTCAGTAATGAACAAAGAAAAAACCCAGCTCAGACTGAATAGTTTATTCATAGCTCTACAGAAACTAAAACTCTCTAGTAGCCAATTTAAAATATAGTTAGACATTGTTTTCGTTAATAAAAGAAGGCTTTGTTGACTGCAGATACCAAATCAGAGATCAGATTAATCAAAGTTGCTGTAGCACTGGTGGTGCAAAGTGACTCTAATCAGTTCAAACACATATAACACCATTTGGGTACTTACATGCTAATAAACGGTATGTAAAGCCTTATAAATAAAGGCAGGATATTCTTTAAAACAAAGACCAAAACCAAGGTGCAATTTTGACATTAGAGTTAGGAAATAAGCATATACAGTCAAGGCCAGAGATGGAACTATTTCCAGTACCTCTGGAAATATTTCCAGTACCTCTGGAAATTCCAGGAAGTCACCTAGGGTCTAAGGGTACATATTTAACAAGGGTCCAGGGGTGGAGGGTCAGCTCCAGTTGAAAGCCCATCAAAATAGATTAAGATTAACATCATTACTTGTATCTATTCTCCATATTTTTGTAGAATTGCTGAAGCCAATCAGAAACACACCAAGTAACGTTCTGAAAAGTAAAACAATGGCCCAGGCTACTCTCAAAGCCTGAATGTGTGCTAAGACTTGAGATTTGAGAGCACAAGATTTGTGCTTCCCTGTGTGACATGCTATCTCAAGCTCCTTGTCAAAGGCAAAACAGAGGTAAAACAGCAAGATACTAGAGCAGTAGTGATTTCAGTTTTCTACAGCAAAAACAATGACCATGTTGTGGTAACTTAATAACTAATCCATGCCTTATGGTGCAAACTTTGATGGACTAGAGTTCTCTACATCAGAGGCATGATGCCTAATCTTCAGTTGCCAATTATACCACGAGATGAATGGATTTTTCAGGGACAGTGGGAGGCTACAGAAAATCATACAAACATGTTTTATTACTGAATGATGAATCCCCCGGCATGCAACAAGTATGCATTTCTCAAAACAGATCCCTTCTGTCTGCAAATTGAGAAATTCTTCCTGGGTCCTTTATCTGATCACATTCCCAATTGCACGGGTTGTTGTTTTTTTTTTAGAACTCATTGGTACAATGAATGTTTTGGTTTAACAGCTCATGCTCTGGTATCTTTTGATGTCAAATAACAGCACCAGCATGTAGTGTTGGGAAAATCTGGATAAATCCTGTCTGAAAAGCTTTACTTCTGTGTGCCTTTGCCTTGTGGGATCAAATCCTGTGCTCCTTCTCAAAACCAAGCTGTCACTGTTTAAAATGGCATCCTTCCCCTGCTCCTTTCTCTCACCTTTAGCTGTGTGCTACAGTAGACAAGCCATTTAGTCCAAATTTACATTGCATACCTTCACAATGATTAAATAGTCATTGTTGGAATTCAGTTTACAAGGAAGTATCTTTTGATAGCCCAGAGGCTCCATGTGCCCTGGCCAATTCAGAATGTCTAGAGTAGATAAGAGTCTTGAGTTCATGCATAGTTTCAGTAGCTTGAATTTACATGTCTAAGCAGACTTGGAGATGGGTTCAAGCTACTGAACTAAAGTGTCAATACAGGCAATTAGAAATATTGTAATCTCATTGTTACTGTGTGATTGACTGACATTTCTTTATCTGTTCTGTATGTGATGACCTCAGAATCTTATTGTAATCTTTGCATTCTGTCATCAATTGCCCTGTACCTGTGTACCTATAAATGCCTTGTAATGGTATTGAAGCTTTGCAGCAGAGTTCACCTCTGCCTGCCCGGTAATGCATGCATTATCGTGAGTACCGCTGGAACCCTGGGGTAAATACAATAAAGCCTCAGATGGTCTGGATGCTTAGTCTTTCCCACAAACCCGAGTTTTATTCCCTCTTCTCAAATTGAGATTCCAGGATTCTGACAGTAGTTACTGCCTATATCCTGGCACTCGTGTCTTCTGGAAAGGCTCATCTTCTTTTCAACCTTATTGTAGCAAAACTATATACCATTGGCTCTCAGAATCACTAATTATATTTTAATCCAGAATTTGCTTGGAAGCATCTGACTATTCCACCTCCTAATTGAATAGCTAAGGTAAGGTACTGAAGATATGTGACAATCCCATTCAGTACTCTTGGGAAGAAGTAGACAGAATACTCTATTAGTTTGGAATTCTGGGTTCTCCCTGACTGAGAAGTAACGCTGCCTGTGATGACTACCAACAGATCCACAGCATTGTGTTGAACACTGATGTCGTCTGCCCCAACCGTCAAGCCAATCCATGTAGTTTTTGTGGCTTTCCACATGTCTTTCCCCCACCACAAGGTCTCAGTGACTCTTTATTTGTATATCAAATTACTAGAAGTAAATGGTTCTCCCACAGCCTTGAGAAGAGAAGACTGAGGGGTGTCATGCTATCCCTCTATAAGTACCTTCAAAGGCTGTCACAAAGAGGAAGGTCAAGATCTCTTCTTGCCAGGGCTTTTTTTTTTTTTTTTTGTCATAGAATGCACCAGAATGGTGTTCCGGCACCTTTTTTTCAATGGATTTTACGAAGTGATTTTGAACTGTGTAGCAGATCAGCAGCAAACATCATTAACATAGTGCCTGCAGGCTGCTATTGTGTCTGCTATCTGCTATCTGATAGTGAGAGATAGGGCTTGAGATTGGTGTGTGCTTACTGCCAGCAGCACCATTTTTTTTTTTTTTTTTTACAAAAAAAGCACTGCTTCTTGCTAATGCCAGAGTGTAGGACACAGAATAATCAATTCAAGTTGCCACAACCCAGATTCAGGCTGGACATCAGGAAAAGCTTCCTCATGATCAGAGCAATACGTTAGTGGAACCAGCTGCCTAGAGAGGTGGTGGGCTCTCCCACACTGAAGACATCCAAAAAGAAACTGGACAGCCATCTGAGTGGGATGGTGTAAATTGGTGTCCTGCAACAGCAGGGGGTTGGACCCGATGACCTCCATGGCCCCCTCCAACTCTACTATTCTACAGGGCCATCTTAACAGCATTATGGGCCCCGGGCAAAGCAGTGTACTGGGGCCCCTACGACAACTACAACTACAGGTAATTTTGGAAGTTTTCCAATTTTTCAAGGATTAACATACAGGGCAAGTGCCCATCAGGCCCATGCGTTAAGACGGCTCTGCTATTCTATGATTCTATGAAGAAAAACACATAGATTTTCCAACTCAAGAGAAACAACTGCCACAGTTTGGGCTTCATTTTAAGACAGCCAGGGCGACTGAAGCTATGTTCTAAATGGTTAGAGGAATATGGTTTTCACTGTGTGGGGAGTATGTTCTTGGAGTAGTATGTTCTTGTTTGTTGTTTCTCCATTGTTTAATTACAATTGAAAATAAAATATTCAAATAAAAAAGGAAGTGGACATCAGGCTGAAATTGGGGGCAGCCCTCAAACTAACAGGAAGCTATGCAAGGGGCAGTTCCACATGGTCATTTATGAAACATGCAAGCCAAGAACAAACATCAGAAAGAAGACAGTGGCTTAGGAGTGATGGGCAAGCAGAAGCTGTTTTCTTGTATAGCTATGAGGTAAATGAAAAGGCTGAGCACTTCAGAATCCCTCACATTAAAAGGTGCCAAAGAGTAGTTAAATGTGG